GTCATTGCATAAGTGAAGAACCAAGAAAAGAAATCATGTGACTACTCCATGGTTACTAAGTATTGTATGCATTATATGTATATGTATATATATATATATATATATATATATATATATATATATATATATATATATATATATATATATATATATATATATATATATATATATATATATATGTATATATATATAAGCCTATTGTATTGAGTAGAAAAAAATCAATAATAAATGAACAATTAAAACAAAAGAAAATGGATCTGCTGATACTTCTTTCGTCTTACTTGTTTCTTCTTAAGTTTTCAAATAATTAAAAAAAAAACAAAAAAAAACAAGTAACTCAAACCAACATTAGAAAAAAAATATATACCAAAATTTATGTAACTTGTTGTTAGAGAAATAATAATATCTTAATTGGGTGGTGTATTTTATTTTGTTTATTTTTAACTAATAGCTATGTTAATTAATCAGTCGGTAGTAAGGTAGAACTTCGTATATACGTAAATTAGTTCGAGTTGTTATATCATATTAGCACAGAGATGAAGTTGTCGATATAAATTCCATAGTGGTAGAGGTTATTATTTATTTATTTATTTTAACACATAAGTATAGGTACAGGGAGGCACCAAATACATATGCGCCACACAAATCTCAATTGATTTGTATGAGGGCTGTTATACTGCTCGGGTGCTCAAACCGAAACAGGTGGTTTTCTTAGGGGGGCCACACCCCGAGCCTTTGACCTGAACGTTTAACCCACAAGGCAGTGGAGCATCGTGAGGAGATGCAGTCCCATGGAAGCCGGTGACCAACGATTGGTTCATACGCCATTTGTTCCTTTAGGATACTGGATCGAGCCAATGTACACCATTGGTTTGGGGTCCGGTTAAAAGTATAAACAGTAATCGGAAAGATTACGGTTTAAAGATGTTATTCAATGAGTATAATACAGTGAAATAAATTTGGAAAGAGAAAACAAAAATGGACATGAAGAATTCAGAAGATTAGAATTTGAGAGAATACAAAAGAGTGGATGCACTTGTTAATTAACTGAAGTATAGTTGATGTGAATGCTTATACCAGATTATATTATATTACTTATTTATTTTAACATATAAACATCGGTACGAGGAGGTACGAAATACATATGCGCTACATAAATCATTCGATTTGTGCGAGAGCTATGAAACTGCCTGAGTGCCCAAACCGAAGTAGGTGGTTTTCTTAGGGAGCCACAACCGGAGTCTTTGACCTGAACGTCTAACCCACAAGGCAGTGGAGCAACTTAAGAAGATGCAGTCCCATGGTAACCGGTGACCAACAATAGGTTCATACGCCACTTGTTCCTTTAGGATCATAAAGCAAATGTGCACCACTGGTTTGAAATCAGGTTTTTCCAACCAACCAACCCCCAAGTGCACTCACCGTGTTCACCAACCTGGTTAATGTGCTGGACATTCGCTTTTCGTCCTCTCAATGTCGTAAACAACAGTAATGCCACGAGAAGGCAGTGAGTAGGACTTCCCTGGCAGTGGTTGTATACACGTGGCCATATGAGAGCATTCGGAGAGAGAGAGAGCTAACTCTCCCCACTCTCGATCGTACCAGGGGTAATCTTGTAATTATTTAGACAAAAATATTGACAAAAATTGTTGATATGGAGATGAGACAAAATTAGATTAAATGATATAAAATCTATTCAGTTAAATGTGATAATCTATTTTGGTTCGAACTATATATTTTTTTAATTAAATTCAATGATGATTTGGTTGTAAAATTTTCATTTTTATTCGGATTAATAATGTTAATGCTTAAACCAATTAAATTGATGTGGGTTATCTCTAGTTTACTCAATAAACATTAAATCTGTTAATTCTATTGACCTTTAATTGTTTTAGTAGGTTTTATTATCTTTATATACCTTTGGATTTTTATTGATTATTCGATTCAATTGACTACACTACTAAACGTATGATTGACAAACTACATCTATATTATTATGCCTAATGAATGTAGATTGAGCTGAACAATGTGTTTCAAGGAATTCTCCAATGTTCTTGACATATACTCCACTCAGAATTCTGAGACTTTCGCAATCATTTTAATGCTGGTGTTCGTCCGTTACATGTATAATAAATATAAGTGATATCCTATCCTGTTATTTGAATACTATTTTTTAGGCTCACAAATGCCATGGTATGGCCGAGAGTGGGCGGAGTCCGCTCCTCCTCTCGAAATGCTCTCACATGGCCACGCGTATATAGCCTCTGCCAGGGAAGTCCTACTCACTACCTTCTCGTGGCATTACTGTAATTTACGAAAATGAGAGGACGAAAAGCGAATGTCCGGCACCGGCTTTAACAGGATCCCAAAACAATGGCGCACATGGGCTAGCTCCAGTATCCTGAAGGAACAAATGGCGTATGAACCAGTCGTTGGTCACCGGCTGGCTACCATTAGATGCTCCACTGCCTTGTGGATAAGATCTTCAGGTCGAAGGCTCAAGGTGTGGACCCCTAATTAAACCACCTGCTTCGGTTTGGGCACCCGGGCAGTATCACAGCCCTCACACATATCAAATGAGATCTGTGTGGCGCATATGTATTTGGTGCCTTCTTGTACCGATATCTGCGTGTTAAAATAAATAAAAATTATGTATAGATGAAAAGGATGTTTACCTTATCCAAATTATTGCTTTTCAAAGTTGGTATCATTTATTTCATAGATAACAATGCTGTATTTATTTGCCCTCACTGTTGTATCATTCAGTTTGATTATAAAATCGGATGAGAGATTAGGTAGTTGACTTGTACATGGCTATCAATTTAGTTAACTTATTACCCTCGATAGAAAGTTTCAGGATACAGATTATTTTATTTATTTATTTTAACACATAGATATTGATACAAGGAGGCACTAAGTACATATGCGCCACACGAATCTTAATTGATTTGTGTGATAGCTGTGATACTGTCCGGGTGCCAAAACCGAAGCAAGTAGTTTTATTAGGGGGCCACACCCCGAGCCTTCGACCCGAACGTCTAACCCACAAGGCAGTGGAGCATCTAATGGTAGCCAGCCGGTGACCAACGACTGGTTCATACGCCATTTGTTCCCGCAAGATACTGGAGCTAGTCCATGTGCACCATTGGTTCGGAATCCGGTTAAAGCCGGTGCCGGACATTCGCTTTTCGTCCTCTCATTTTCGTAAACAACAGCCGTGGTGCGAGAAGGCAGTGAGTAGGACTTCCCTGGCAGAGGCTATATACGCATGGTCATGTGAGAGAATTTCGAGAGGGAAAGTGGACTCTCTCCACTCTCGGCTATACCAGGGCATTTTGGGACGTAAAGCACAAAAAACCTATCTGTTAAGCCATTAAAATATTACAGTCAACTATCGTGTATAACCTAAAATAATCAGTAAAATTTCCATTAGTTAAAATTCGAATACTAAAAGAGTTTGTTTAATTATAATCTAATGAGTATTAGAGAATATAACCTGGTGTTTTTGTAGCAATGAGTTTCAACTGTGAACTTTATGGAAATAAGGAAATACTACAATTTAATTAAAATGTTAGGTGGTTGGAGCTAGTCGTTAGGATATTCTGGACGTAGGTTTTGTGCTAGTCAGTTAGTAATGTTGATTAACTTTATCAAATTTAATTAATAAATAAGATAATTATATAATTAAGATTCCGTCATAAACAATTAATGGCAACTATATGAATTCAATTAATTGAGTATATATATTTTTTCATTATATTCGTGTAAATCGCGGCGTGAATAGAGTTTTCAGAGAACATCATCATTTTCATTATTTTCGAAACGGCTCTGATGGATGTAAGTAATGGTGGTGTGGATCTGTTGCCTGGGGAAAGACTTCTCGACCTTGAGTATGCGGATGATATTGTCTTACTGTGCGAGAATGCCCAAGCCATGCAATCCGCACTTAATCAGTTGGCAATCAATGTCCGTAGGTAGGGTATGTGCTTCGCACCTTCGAAGTGCAAAGTACTCCTACAAGACTGGCAGGATTCTAATCCTGTTCTCACTCTGGATGGTGAGCAGATTGAAGTAGTCGAGAAGTTCGTGTATCTAGGTAGCTGCATAAGTGCTGGTGGTGGTGTGAGTGATGAGATCAATGCACGTATAGTGAAAGCCAGAGCGGCTTATGCCAATCTGGGCCATCTTTGGCGCCTTCGTGATGTTAGTCTGGCTGTAAAAGGTCGGATCTACAACGCGACGGTGAGAGCAGTTTTGCTCTATGCTTGTGAAGCCTGGCCTCTCCGAGTTGAGGATGTTAGACCACTCTCTGTGTTCGATCATCGCTGTCTCCGAAGGATTGCTGACATCCAGTGGCAACACCATGTCAGTAATGCAGAGGTTCGGCATCGTGTGTTCGGGCACAGAGACGACAATCCAATTGGTGCCACCATCTTGAAACACCGACTTCGGTGGCTTGGACATGTTCTACGAATGTCGTCCCAGAGAATTCCTCGTCGTGCATTATTTGCCGACTCTGGGACTGGTTGGAAAAAGCGGAGAGATGGTCAGTATATGACATAGTGTCGTGGTATGAAAGAAATCTGCAAAGGGCTAGCTTCTGTTGGTCCTTCACGACTACCTAGCTAGGGTCCGAGAGATGGTGTAACACAGTGGCTAGAGACGTTATCAGATATGGCTCAGAATAGAAGCCAGTGGCGATCCTGCTGTAACCTTCTTTTACTTTCTTCATAAAAAGTGGTTGCATCTTCCTTAACTTAAAGGTCTCTTCTGATTGTACCTTTCCGTTTCCCTCTTTTTTTTATAATTCCCTACGTTCCTAACATTTTTTTCCTTCTTTTTAAATTCTCATTGTTTTGTGTGGCGCATATATATTTGGTGCCCCCTTGTACCAATATTTATGTGTTCAAAAAAATAAATATTAAATAATAATAATAAATAAAGTATATATATATATATATATATATATATATATATATATATATATATAATGAACTTACCCTAAAATTTTATCAGCTTTCTTTTGAGCGAACTCCAATTGTGACTGGTTATACTGAGCCTAGAAAGCAATATTTCAATGCATTAAATTAATGTTTGGATAAGTAGAACTTTTGAAAATACATTATAAATAGAAATATCACAACTAGATTATGTTTTACATTCAGTTATCAATTGGAAGAATATATAGACTATTTGACAGAATACATCTACATAAACACAAGGATTTTACATGATTAACACATCAACCAATTATAGATTCATGTACTCAGGGCTTTGAGTCAAACTACAGTTGTGTGAAAGCATTGGGTGTCTATATTAGTGTGAGTAAAAAGGGATTAAAAGTTAGTTAGAGAAAACTAAGCGCTCTAGTCACTAAGGTATCACTCCTTGAGACGCAACGCGATGCATTTATAACCGTAAATTAACTGATCCCTTTTAAGTTTTAAGAAAATTTAGTATGTTTCCATAAAAGAGAAAGAAATACAACTCTTAAAACTAGTTGATTTCAACATGAAAGAGTGAAATACTTGAAAATATAATGAGATGTTTATTACAGACTTTAATGTAAAAAGGATTCCAATCATTAAAATAAGTGATAAGATGAATAGATCTGATTGGGCTTATCATGATAATGCACAATGTACTGAGGTTGTATACTACATTAAATTCAAGGGAGAAAAAGCTTCAATAAAAAGCTTAATTATTCAATTCATTAAAATTTACCATAGGATTTGAATGCTTCAAATCTTGATTATATATACTAACGCTCCCATATGCCCTGGTACGGCCGAGAGTGGAGAGAGTCCACTTTCCCTCTCGAAATTCTCTCACATGACCACGCGTATATAGCCTCTGCCAGCGAAGTCCTATTCACTGCCTTCTCGCACCACGACTGTTGTTTACGAAAATGAGAGGACGAAAAGCGAATGTCCGGCACTGGCTTTAACCGGATCCCAAACCAGTATCCTGCGAGAACAAATGGCGTATCAAACAATCGTTGGTCACCGGCTGGCTACCATGGGACTGCATCTCCTCACGATGCTCCACTGCCTTGTGGGTTAGACGTTCAGGTCGAAGGCTCGGAGTGTGGCCCCCTAATAAAACCACTTGCTTCGATTTTGGCATCCGAACAGTATCACAGCCCTCACACAAATCAATTGAGATTTGTGTGGCGCATATGTACTTGGTGCCTCCTTGTACCTATACCTATGTGTTGGACATTCGCTTTTCATCCTCTCAATTTTATAAATAACACTACATACAAGTTTAATGATAAGTTTAACTATTTTTGAATGAATTAACATAATATGGAATTTGTAACATGAATTGTCCATCTATAACGAATCAGTTGTTTGGATATAATTGTAATTACGTAATATGAAAAGCGTTTAGAAAGTTTCAAAAGACCTTTGAGTGAACCTCACTAAATTATGATTAAAATTAATTGAAAAATGAAAATAATAATAATAATAATAAAATCAATATTTAAACTTGCATAACTTTCACTTCCATAACATGTATAAATATGAATTAGCACCAGAAGGGGTTTTGTGAATATTATAGTAATTTTAGTAGTTGAGATCATGAATCAATTGAAGTTAGACCATCACGATGAAAAACTTGGAAGCACTGGACAGCTGTTTTGTCCTATAGTAGGATTCCTTAGCAGTGCGCATTCACGTTCGCGCCTCGCGAGATTCAAACCCAGGTGGTCTAGCTTCAATGGACTCATGATCTCAATTATTTAAATTACTATAATATCCACAAAATCCTCTTCTGATATGAATCAACATATGCTCACTAGTGACTGGCTTCAAGAGGTATTTCCTGGAGTTCTAGTGAGAAGTAGTGACCAGTGGAGTTCAACCGGGTCTGTTGTGAGATAGTAACTCACTGATGACAATAATGGATGTGTCGCTCAATTTTGTGGACATTAACATCGTCAGATCTCCATTATTAAAATAAAAAATAAAATACTCTACTACAGAGTTGAAAAGTTTCGTTCATCAATAAAACTCAAGGAGGAATGCGCTATCGTAGCCAATGTTCGGGAGAGTTGTGTGAAATTGTTCAGAATCGTTCAAAATAGCACACATTCATTCACACTTTATCCATACTTGAATCTTGAGTTATGAAATAATTTTGTACACTTCTGTTAACAAATTTATCCTTTCTAATTCATGTAGTTTGTATTCAATGTTTTCCAGTACCATTGATTCTGACTGTGTTCTTACGGCGAGGGTGTTTTTCACGAAATTGAGGGACGAAAAACGAATGTCCTGCGCTTTACTCGGCTTGGTGGATACAGAGGTTCCATCTAGGCGAGTTGGAAAGCCATACTTTCAAACCAGTGGTGTGCATGACTTCCAGGATCCTAAGGAAACAAGTGGCGTATGAACCTATTGTTGATCATCGGTAACATGGGACTGTATCTCCTTACGTTGCTTCACTGCCTTGTGAACCCTAAGAAAACCGTCCGCTTTGGTATGGGCAACCGGGCAGTATCCCAGCCTTCACATAAATCGAATAATTTATGTGGCGCATATGTATTTGGTGCCTCCTTCTATCAATGTTTATGCTTTTAAATAAATAAAAAATATGTGTGATTACTTTTATTATTAGAGATACACATGGTTGTGATAAGTACACCAGTTAACATAAAACGTAAGAACGACGCGTCAATATTCTGATTGCTTCCAGTTACTTTAAACTAAATAATGTTCACCTAAATTCACTTGGTATTGTTTGGCCTGTATCTTCCCATTGAGGTTTAAGACTGCAGTTGATCATTTCACCTAATGTACAAGTTTTCACCTTTATTATTTCTGGTAATTTAATGTTATGTATTATTATTATTATTACTTATAGACAACCATCGAAACCGGACTGCATCTCCTCACGATGCTCCACTGCCTTGTGGATTAGATTTTCAGGTTGAAGGCTCAGAATATGGCCCCCTAAGAAAACCACCTGCTTCGGTTTGGGCACCCGAGCAGTATCACAGCCCTCACACATATCAAATGAGATTTGTTTGGCGCATATGTATTTGGTGTTTCCTTGTATCAGTATCTATGTGTTAAAATAAATAAATTAATTAATCATTACTCAGTTGGTCTACCAATCAATCAAACTGATTAACAGTCTATTAAGTTTTTATTCTTCCAGTACATGTTTGTAACTATGTACATGTAGGTTTCGATAATCCAAGCCAAAAATACCCAGTGTACATTGTTTAGTTGGTTAAATTGAATACAAAAAGTAAACTAGACTCTCAAACGAAATAATTATTAGTATCGGAAGTTTATTTTGACTGTTCAGTTTGTTGTTTATATCATAGAATGAATTTACATTAAACGATCAAGAAACTTTGATAGTGGTTCCAGTTTAATATAGGACTTTTATTTTACGTCTGACACGGTTAAACTCCATTGTCCCCAGATAATAAAATAGACACTTATACTCAGTGGACGTTTTTTTCTGGTCAATTCCAATAAGACTAATGTTTATTAATATTCACATCTTGTTTCAACTGGATAGAAAGTAGTTGGTTAATTGGAATCAAGTGTTTATTTTATTTATTTATTTGAACACATCAATATTGGTACAAAGGGGTACCGAATACATATGCGCCACACAATCCACTTGATTTGTGTGTGGGGTATGATACTGCTCACGTGCCCAAATCGAAGCAGGAATCAAGTGAAATTTTGAACACTTGTTTATAACTTTCATTTGTTACACTGAATGTGAAACTATATATAACTAATTATATGAAACGAATCAAAACCACTTTCCCTTGAGAAATGGTTATCGAGTCAAGAAGGTGAAAAACATCAAATTGATTACAAATAATTAAATGTTCCGTACGTTAAGCATAAAATGCTTTTCTTGATTATAAATGATCTATAATTTTACTCAACATACTCAGTGCTTAGTTAATCTAATTGAGCTAAGAAAATGAACTGTATAGGAAGCTTTACTTATTGAGTAATAGATTTTTAGAGTTCATGGATATTAATTAGTGTTAGTATGTATTCATTCCATTTCATTTTAACACATAAGTATAGGTACAGGGAGACACCAAATACATATGCGCCACACAAATCTCATTTGATATGTGTGAGGGCTATGATACTGCCCAGGTGCCCAAACCGAAGCAGGTGGTTTAATTAGGGGGCCACATTCCGAGCCTTCGACCTGAAGATCTAATCTACAAGGCAGTGGAGCATCGTGAGGAGATGCAGTCCCATGGTAGCCAGCCGGTGACCAACGATTGGTTCATACGCCATTTGTCCCCGCAGGATACTGGAGCTAGCCCATGTGCACCATTGATTTGGGATCCTGTTAAAGCCGGTGCCGGACATTCGCTTTTCGTCCTCTCATTTTCGTAAACAACAGCCGTGGTGCGAGAAGGCAGTGAGTAGGACTTCCCTGGCAGACGCTATATACGCGTGGTCATGTGAGAGAATTTCGAGAGGGAAAGTGGACTCTCTCCACTCTCGGCCGTATCAGGGCATTCGGGGGATGAAAGAAAACCAATTTTAGTGTATGGATATTCGAAAATGTTTGGTGAAGTTTTAAATAAAAAACAGATTTTCTTTCAACTTTAATCATAATGTCTGAGTAAAATCAAGTAATTTCCCGTGTAGACATACAGGATATTATAATATTATATTATCTTAAAGGGTCAGAATAAACTCTCGTTCATGGTATTTCATGATTCGCAAATTTTATTTGATACTGAATGTCAGGTACACGTCATAGAGATTCAGAGGCAATAAGCTGAGAGTTGGCAAACAAAAAATATACATAAGGTAGCTTGGACAAATTACCGACGACTGTTGAATTAAGACTAACTTATGATATCAGTTTCATTTATCAAGTACAGATTCGTGTGCTCACGTGCTTGGAGTCACAATGTGACTGTCATATGACAGCTAGTGATACTATTCGACTTTCTTGATCAATATACCTCACTATACTTCAATGATGTCGATAATTAGAGGAATGAGAGAAAAAGGATGACAGTACTAAACAAGGAATAATAAAATAAAGGTAAGTGCAAAAAGAAAACAAACTTTTTGATCGATTCGATCAAGAATCTGATTATGTGTTGTTATCTCTTGATTCATATCAGTAGCCATAGAATGAAGTTGAGATACCATCCCTGAAACTTGTTGTAAATTCTGTTCCATTTCGTCTTCACGAGCGTCATTCGTGATTCTGTAAGTCAATTTGAAAAAAAAAAAGGAAAAATATGATTTCCAACAGAAACAACTTTCTACTTAATAAACACTGAACTAGAAAGTCAATTGCTTATAAGAGAATCAATTTTAAACTATTGCCACAGCTTCACGCCTTCATCTTATATGATAGATTTTACAGTTAATTAGAGCCCTTTATAACAACTAATTATGTTTTAGTGATACAACAGAGAAAAAGCATTTTATAAGATCGATAGTGACTAACAAGATTGAACAGTATTGAGGAAATGGTCTGAGCCAATAAGGTTATTGAATATGGTCATAATTAAAGAAATAATAGATAGAATTTCACTCATATGCCTACTATCTTGAGTGAATGTGACCTAGATGACCTGGCTTCATTCAGTTAATGATTGATGAAAGTTGCCATTCACTTGTAAGGATAAAGCTTGACCAGTAAGTACGCAACAATGTGCAAAGACATTTAGAAATGATTGGCCGAGAATTTCTGACTTTAATTGTCAAGCTAGATCACCTTTCCGACTTACCAGACGTACTGTAGTGAAGGAGAACATAGATGAGGAAAACCGATTATATTTAGCACAAAATTAGAGTTACTTAATAAAATAGAAAAACCGTACTCCAATTCTTCATTTGCAAAATGTTCATTAATTGTCTCAGGCTTCATTTTTTCTGTATTTCTGTACCAATTGCCTTCTGTAACCGTTCTCCCATTCTCGATCTTATCAACCTTCTGCTGACAGACATTCTATTCCTGACTGGCATTATATACTACTCATGTCAACATAAGTAGCACACACCACACTCGTCCCCCTTTTAATAAGCTGTTCTGAATCATACTTTGTGACCACCTTACCGCTTCTTAAATCAACTATTGCTTTTACTTCTCTTAGGAAATCTGCTCCTAATATAGGTCTCGATAGGCTTGTGGTTATTATGAACGGAAAATTCATCTCAGCACTGCGACGCCAACAACTGTGCCTCCAACTCCCCATTCACATTCGGCAACGCGCGGTGCAACAATCTGGTAAGCTCCACTGCCAGCACCAGGGGGTCACCATCGATCGATAAATTCGCTAGCCGGAACATCTTTAGTACTTCTTTTCTGTCCACTGGGCTGTCGACCTCTACCCTGCTTTCAGTAGCGTCACCAGCACCACCATCTTCGCCTTAGGCTTTTTCACTTTCACCAGCTCTGCAACAGCCTCAAACGCCTTCGGGAAACTCAGCACATTTCCGTTCTCAAATTCCTCAGGCCATGGAATCGTCATCTTTAGTGGAGGTAACGACACCAAACGTAGTGAGGGAGAACACAGGTGAGCACAACCGATTATTTGGCAAAAAATTATAGTTACTTGATAAAATAGAAAACTAGACTCCAATACTTCAGCACCACCTCGAGATTTCGATTGTATCCGAAGTGAAAAACAGTCATTCAGAAGCTATAAAACGTAAAATAATGAAACAACCGGAGAGCTCTAACTTTCGAAGACTACTAGGTCTGTTATGAACAGTGGCAACAAAGATGAAATTAGTGCGTTGCCGCAATTGTAAAACATTTTGAAGAGCATAAGATTGATATACTCTGAATTTTGCAAGATAACAGTTTTAAAGACCGCAGTTGGTGCATTTATAGTACAGTCTATTTACTATTTATGTACTATTCGGAGGAAGGAAAGTATTCATGTAAATATCACTTATCACATGTATCTGGTACATTGTTAATGGTTAATTAAAAACGCTGAATATAATATGATGACGCAGTCCAAAAACAGGTAGAATAAAAGAAGTGAATAGGAATAAACCTGTATACCTGGTGATGAAAGGCCCACTCTTTTGTTGGTTTTGCTGAATTTGGAATCCTGACTGTGGCTGATAAGAGTTAACTTGATAATTATTACTAGTTCCAGTTGGATAACCATTCCCACTCGTTGGATATTTCGGCGTTTTCGTATCTGGTTTGACTCTAAACGAAAATGAGAAATAGAAAGATGTAAAGCAAATTATACTTTATAAATTGGCATTCGAAATAAACAATCACCAAATGCTCGATACGCTTGCGAAGCTGTGGACACCGGAATTCGACCGTGTCGAGTGTAAAGAAGGTACCAACTTAATGGACGAAAACTTCGGTAGGGAAGACCAGTTTATTGTACTAAGCAAAACCACAGACTGAGTTTTTTTTAATTATGAAAACAATACATTGAATACACCATTTGCACAACTTCCTTGAACTGTCTCTTACGAACTCCATCGTCCCTCCATTACTGTTGCCACTCCAACTGTTTTTTTTCTCTTTTCCGCATTTTTTTCTTAATTGTAAGAATCCTACTTCCAATTCCAGCTGCATACTACTGATATCTGTTCGTGTAAGTAGTACATAACACATCAACCCAAAATAATAGATGGTTGCGCAATATCCCTAATTTATTGAAGTCAGACCTGTACACCATTAGATGCTGGTTCAGCGATCTAGAGGTTAAACACTCGCCAGCGATACCGAAGGTCCTGGGTTCGATCGTCGGTTGCAGTCATGGATGTGTACTGCTGAGGAGTTCCACATTGAAACAAAACGGTCGTCCAGTGCTCCCAGTTCTTCATCAGTTGTCTAATTCAGATCGACTTGAGATTTCTATGAAGTTATACCATCCTCACAATTCCATATAACTTAATCAGTTAATCCGTGGCTCCGTTTAGGAAATCTGTTCATTTAGAATTAAAGCATCGATTCTGGGACAAAACTATCAGCTTACACACCCCGCCCGTTTCATTATTAATGGTAATATTCGGAGGTTACATAATTAATGACGGATATCTTAAAATACAACATGTAACTTACTTCCTCCATGGTAAAACGCATAAACCACAACATTTATCGATTTCATCAAGGTCACGTTGTGCTTCATGTAGATCTTCACGAATGTTATCCATATCCGAATCGATCCCTCTTAGTTGTTCTGAAAATGAATTAATCAATAAGCGTGTCTTGTGACCATAGAATATATCATCGTAAAACGGAGCAATAATTGAATAAAGTTTATAACCATCTACCATTGATTGCAGTTTGGATGAAGTTAAGAGATTTACAGAAAGTCTTCTGCCCTCCTACAAAAAGCCAGACGCTAAGAAGAAGTAATCGTAGCATGAGACTTTAACGCCCAGGTATATAGTATAAACAAAAGGGGAAGACACCTAAACAAGTCTCAGTGTACCAGCTTGACGAACAGACAATGGCGATGGTCTGCTACAGAAACGCTCAGATAACCGTCTTTTCTTAGCATGCACCAACTTCGAGCAGGAAGATAGAGATCTCCATGATCAACCCAAGGATGGACCCAAACAGACTGTATCACCAACAGCCAACATTAGAGGCTCGACAGAAAACAGCCGCTCATCCCGATGTACATATCTAGACTCGGATCATGCTCTGATACGAGAGTGTATTTGTTTTCGTCTAACTGGACGCGGACAGGTTACGCCAAGGATATCCTAACGACAAAGAAAATCAGGGGTATACTTCAGGAACAACAGGAAAATCAGTTAGTCAATCGTCAAAATGATGTTTTCCCCGGTATGGCTGGGCATGATATTTAGACACACGTGAAAATAGCAACGATACCTAACAGCCACTATAACCAATAAGTTGAAAATATCAGTGGATTTAAGCGGGATCTATTGAGATGACAGATACTAAGCAAATCATCCAGTAATGCTAGAAACATGGCAAGGAGCAGAGGCAAGTTAAACGTGAACTGGCAAACGGTTATGCAATGATTGCGAACAGTGGCGGGCAGCGAAGCTAATAGCGATGGAAAGAGAGGCGACGATAGACAACAAACGACCCTTCCCAACAACACTCACATATGTCATATAACCCAATCTCGTATTCATGACTATTTTAATATTATAAGTTGTCAACAAATAACCAGAACAAAATGAAATCAAATAAATTCATTTTGTTCTCATCAAATATTTGTTCTTGTTCTTTTCAAGATGAGAAATCAATTGCATATGTGAAATCACTTTTAGACCATTAAGAGCAGTATTCAGTTTTGACAGTTGATGTGAACCGGGAAACAAGAAGCCCTGACAAACTACGAAGGCTATTTTTCGGAACGTTATTTCATTTTATTCAAAGCTTGTAAAACACTGACATTTATTTTTGTCCCTAATCTATTCTACAGAACATAAGCTTTCGTTCGATGTATCATTCACTGCCATACCTTTTTCTGTTCCGAAGCTATTGTAATTTAAACATATTATTTTGCACCCTATTTTCTACTCTAATTCCCAGCTTTGGACATAATTGTATTTTTCCTAATTATTGAACGTTGCGGTCGGGTTATTCACTTATTTATTCATGTACCTTTTTACACTAATCTGAATTCAGTAAATCCAGTGAGTTCAGTGGTCAGGGAAATAGATCGAGTAGTGTTCCAGTTGTCTTGTCTTCTCTCATTCGTGTGCTTGCCCACCAATCAGGTGACAGAATAGTTTTCTTCTCTCTACCCCATCTCGAACTCACGCGTACTAGTCTCAAGGTTAAGCTGATCAGCCTATCGCATCAAGGTCGAAATCTAGATTAGACAAGTATCCTCGGCACCAAAAAGTGGGTAGACAAATCAAGGTCATAACAACAGTCAACACAAGTCATCCGACTTTTAATGAAACAGGGAAAGTTATTGCTAATCCAGAGTGACAGAGAGCACCATGTTCTAATCAATTAACCCTGACATCTCTAAGGATACCGGTTCACTCTCAGTCATCAGATTAATTCAAATATTCACTAAAAATAACTACAACAACTCCACATTATACCATCTGACTTGTCTCCACTGATCATCATTTCAGCCCACAACAGCACGAAAATCCTATTGTGGTAACCAGAGACATTTGACTCCCTTAATCCACAGCTTCTCTCTCAGTGTCAATCATTCAGAGCACTGTAAAAAAAACATCAACCTTGTACAGATTCTTCACTCAAACACTACTTGTCCAATCACAGCTTATGGAGAACTCACATCACAATCACCAGCCATAAATCCTGCTCGTTAGATTCGACATTTTTCCTCATTTTCATCCAACTTTTCCACATATATTCCTTCCAACATGACGCTTTCATCGGCTCACTACGTTCCACAAATCGACCTTCAATCACGAGACTCACCTCTTCACTTCAAATACATCGATGATATAGCCTGTTTGATGAAGTCGCTGACGAAATTCGCACACTTCCGACAACATTAACCAACAATCAAATCATTTCTATCATGAATTTAACTTTCCTAAAGAAAAATGTTGTTTCACGGCTGGTTTGTCCGAACGGCTCAATTAACAATAAGTAGTCAAGTAGTTGGGTGGGTGTGTCGACCACCTCACTTATCCAAGGAGTATCATCAGTCGTAATTGTTTGGTGTCTGACAGAATCTCGACACCAATTCAGAAAGTTCGGTCGACTTTCGCAAATTTCAGTCACCCTCCCCGTAAGCGACATATCCATCTCCCAAGGAAATGAAAAGTACACGGAATAGCAGTTCGCTCCCTTCTAATTTATTAATAGGAAACATCCCAATGAACAATTGATGATATTCATAAACTGCTAATATTTGATCATAAGCGTATTCGAAGCACGGCTCGTGTATTCTCAGGTCAGCTAGTGAGCAATACTGAAGTAGGAACCACAGTGCTAGGTAAAAATGCAAAAGCAATTGATCACGTAGTGAATCTTTATCGAAAAACATGGTCACAACATGTATTACATATCTCCATCCACCGATTGCCTAGACCACACATCTTCGCTGGTCTACAAGTTTGTTGAGAGAGAAGTAGAGGAGGCCAAACCAAGACTCCATCAAGTCACTAACTGCTCGACTGAGTCATATATGCAGGTGCCCCCAAATGCCCTGGTACGGCCGAGAGTGGGGAGAGTCCGCTATCCCTCTCCAAATGCTCTCACATGGCCATGCGTATATAGCCTCTGCCAGGGAAGTCCTACTCACTGCCTTCTCGCACCACGGCTGTTGTTTAAGAAAATGAGAGGACGAAAAGCGAATGTCCCGTGCTTTAACAGGATCCCAAATCAATGGTGCACATGGGCTAGCTCCAGTATCCTGAAGGAACAAATGGCGTATGAACTAATCGTTGGTCACCGGCTGGCTACCATGAGACTGCATCTCCTCACGATGCTCCACTGCCTTGTGGATCAGATCTTCAGGTCGAAGACTCGGGGTGTGGCCCCCTAAGAAAACCACCTGTTTCGGTTTGGGCACCCGAGCAGTATCACAGCCCTCACACAAATCAATTGAGATTCGTGTGGCGTATATGTATTTGGTGCCTCCTTGTACCAATACCTGTGTTAAAATAAATAAATAAACAAAATATATGCAGGTACAGACTACCTGATTCGCGTCTGTGTGATCATCGTAACCAAGAATTAGAGAGTCTGAGTGACATATGCCACAATCGTTCACAATGTCGTAGGTCCATCTAATCTTTGCCTTCACTAGGACCTTAATTTCGAATTCCTTATAATTTTTTTGATCAGCTAACTTGTGTTTTCTTCTCGAATCATATCTTCAATATTCCATCATTTCTATTATCACAAATATTGTTACTACCCCTCGTAGTTTGGAAACTGTTTTGACAATTCCACCTTAGTGTATTGATGGGCATGGGAACTTGAACCGATGTATATATGTGCCAGGTTCTACTCTGAGTATGATTTTCAGATTAATAGATATGTACTAACCAATGAGGATGGAAATAGGAAAACTCGAAAATGATGAAAAGCATACCTACTAACCTACTAGCGAATAGCTCGATGACTAGAGCGCCAAAGATTACGTCATTCGTAGTTTTTTATGTTGCAAATCTTTATGAATGATGTAACTTTGTTGAGTGAATTGAGACGTCCGAGTATTTTTTATATCCAATAGTAGGTTACAAGATAATTTTTTGACCGATATGCAGTTAAGTTGCCACTTCCGTAAACTAACATGTCACAGAATATCACCTCCGACCACTCAATTATTTCTTAACATGAAGTTCCAATGGGAACCAACAGGTTATGATCCGTATTCCACAGACATCAAAATTCATCGAATAAGCGTATATTAGGATATCACACACAAATACACCAATTGGTAACAGGGCTTATTCTTCCACATCATGATTACATAATCAGATTTACAGTTTTTTATTTGCCCGTTTAGTTAACAATGAAAAGCTCAAACGGAATAACATTCAAAAACTAGCTACAACTCAACAATCAAACCAAGTTCTGTGGTATTCCACTTCCCGTCATGGAGTTAACTCGTCAGTCAGACGTAGGGTGGAAATTGGATCTTATGAACGAGTGAATATGAATCGAATACTCTGGCTATCAAGCAATCGATCCATAATTTAGGCTGCTGAATTATATAGAATGTGACGGTAAAAATGTGCATATCAAAGTCTGTCGCCTAATAGTGACTTTGAAACTATACTGCTGTCAATAAAATAGTACATAGTATTGAATGAGTATAATACTGTATGTTATCGAAAATTCACACAACTGACTTCTTAGTGCCCTTTGTAAGTAGTCTTTATAGTAAGAAGTACCTACTGCCACTAACAATCTTGTGACAACACCATTTTTAACAATCGATATGTTTGTTTTCTTCATTGAATATCTGAGGATAGATAAATAAATAACTTATTTCTAAGCTTAAACCAAGAAAACTTAAAAATATTAACACAATGGTTACATAAACTGGTAGTGAGTATCAATCTAATTTCGTTTATCTCGATTAGACTGAACATTCAGTTGTATGAGTATTTCGATGTAAAGAGTGAACTCTCTAGATTCTCCGTTGTGCCAAAAAATTATTATTAGATAACCTCCTGGAATTCACAACAAAAAGATACTGATCATTTTTTAGGGTTCTAAGAAACTCTATACTAGGCAATAACAATACGTGATAATTTTCGCAGTTTAATAACACATTTCATGGTTTATCCCTAGACACAACCTAATCATGAACATAAAACTGCTGATTTTAGAGAGTAAAACAAGGATATATGGTACGAAATTGACATAAAAGCCTATGACTAACTGTTCAAAATTATACAAATAAATTGAAAACCTACGGCCTTGGGACTCCAACTTTCCCAGTGTCTGAGCACCCACTTTTGTACTCTGAAATTCCAAAAAACCGGAAGTTCTATAAATATAAATGCTTTAAAAAGTTTTGTCAAAAGTGGAAAATTTATTAACACAATATTATTAACAAATGAAAAACAATATGTAAAACAAAATAGAAATAAAGAACACAATATTTGAATTTTGATCGCAAAAATCTTATTATCATAACGTTTACGATCGAAGTGAGAAGAAATGAATTAGAGGCCAAACTGCTTTATCATATTTATTTTATATTGGTACAAGGGAGCACCAGATACATATACGCCACACAAATCTCATTTGATTTGTGTGAGGTCTGTGACACTGCCCGGGTGCCCAAACTGAAGCAGTGCTTTGCTTTCCACCAATAAGTTCAAGGCGTGTATCTATCTACTTCCATTTGTAAACTAGGGTAGTATCACTCAGTGTGACACAAGAATTTTGACTTAAAGCCCACTACAGAAAGCTGTGTATGGCAAATGAGTTACGTTGAAAAATATTGCAATTCACAAACACATGTCAATGCTTAAAAAACACCGAACGTACTTGTCCTTTGAGCACTGAACTACAAAAACTTCCAGCATGGAAAAGTTATGAAACTGAGCTAGAAACATTAATTAACTTAGGAGAGATTAGTTGAAAGTGACAAGTGAAATCATCATACATTTCAAGACCTGTTAACAGGAATTATATTATTTAAGCTTAATTAGATATCAATCACTGGTATTTCTAAACTCATTAAACCAAATAGCATAACCAGAAACATCAATCGGTAGTCCTGTAAATATGAAGTTAACCACGTGAACAACAAATAAGAAATTTGTACCCACCAAGATGGGTTAATCCAACAATCCATGACTTTACGAACTGACAATACGTCTTGGTTTATCTTCCCTAAGCTTTCTTCCAACTTACTACTACTCCAGACAATACCGTGCCAAGGTAGAAGGTGACCGGGGATATGGAAGACATATCCCAGTCACCTTAATCGATGGATGTTTTTGGTTTTACCAACCAGTTTTCCATATTTGTGCAGTACTCTAAACCTAACACCAGCAACTAAAGTAACAGGATGAAAAGAAATACTTTAGATTTTATTAGATTACGATACAATGATATTGGTTACTACGGTGTAAAACTCGTAAAACACTTAATCGCGTGAGGTCGGTCAGCATTTCGGTCAGGCAAGGGATGTATCGATAACATCTTCATTCTCTGCCAAATTCTTAAACCCTTTCAAAAGTATTGAGGTACTGTTATGTTCTTTTGACATCAATACTTTTTATTTGGTTGACGGAATTGTATCGTAGGGGTCTTTTTTAGAGGGAATCTATATCTGGAAAGCCTGCTAACATCTCAAAAGCTTTATATGAAAACATGTAAGACGGAGTGAATGGATAAGACCATCCAACTTCAGTATTCAGAACTGGTTGTTGATTTAGACAAGGTTGTGTAATTTCGATATTTCTCCTTAATTTTTCCAGAGACGATATTCTGGGAACAGCTTTTTTGAAGTTTGCAGCTACAGATCCGCTACCAAGAGAATGATTTTCCGGACTTCAATCGGATGGTTATATTATTTGAATATGCGATGACATAGAAACTCATTTGGTCATTGTTGCATGCGTAGGCCCGGTGTACTATGAATTATCAAAGATCTAATTATTTCTATAGGACTGGGGACAACCTGTGACTGGTCTAATTTATTGTAAGGAGTTGTTGCAAAATGTCAAGTTTGTGAAGTCCGGTAGATGCGAGTGATGGTGGTGACAGATATTGCCAGTTTACGTACAGCAAAGGCACAGAAGCATTGTAGTAATTTTCATGATCTTTGGCACTGACATAATATTAGTTTGATGAAAAAAGTTTAGAGGCATACGGCTTTGCTCCAAATAGTTTTATCTTGTGCTTAAAAAACTTGGCCTATTCGAGTTTAGAATGTTCAAAAAGTATTGGCAATAGACCAGTGTCTTCAATGGATTAGTAACATTCTGAGAACATCTAGTTGATACTGACGTCCACTGACCGTAGACGTTACCTCGACAGTCTATAGCAGTAACTAAATCGAACTTCATTGAGTAAAATATTATCCCATCTTTAACAATGAATAACTACGGTATGATAGTGAGAATTAGTGAGCTGTGAACGCAGAAAAACAGGAAAGCCACCAACAAAAATTAGTTCATAATCTTTAGACTCAAAAGCGATCAACATTTTTTTAATTATTGGAGAGATTAGCAAATTAGTCTCAACAGTTGACTAGCATTACCTGAAGCTTATGAATCTCATTGTCTTCACTCACTGTGTACGACCACTACGTGAACTTCTTTGGGGCCCAGTGAAGTGAGTTTTAACTATGTATTAATTTGAAAAAAACTGTTAACCTCCTCTAGCTTTTCATAACCTATTGGTTTAGGTTCCTAATACGTCACTTCATTTTTACAACAGGCCTTAGATTAAAGACGAAAAACGATGAAAGGACTTAATAGTGTTAGGATTGGCTGAGGCATTGTCAAACTTGAGTGAATAGCTGAAAAACTACAACCACACACAATGTATAAAAGTACATTTGTTAAGTGATTTAGAAAGTTAACTGAGTAGTAAGTAATCATCTTATCGAGTGGAGTTGTGGTAGTGATTAAGAAGTTCGAGTTTTAAATTCTAGTCAACATCCTCGAAAACCGCTCCACCTACCAGGGATTCGGCAACTAGGTAATTTCAACAGCTGCAATACATTGTTTAAAAATAAGTACACAAATACCTACCTAGGTATAAATTAACAATAATAACCCCGACTAGAGGGAGCAAAAACACAGCACAAGAGAAAGCTCGGGATTTGAGCAAATGACTAATTTCCCAATAGATTTTTACCGTTAATTTGTTTCTAACCATTGATTATTGTGTAGTTTAGTGCTACAACCTAGTTTATGAATTTCTATTATGTTTACACGAATTACGGTACTTTAGATTGATAGGACTTTGACCAGATGTTGCAATTGGGCCTGAGTTTATGAACTTAAAAAAATTACCCAAACCATGTTCAATAAGATAGCAGAATGGTTAGACTAAGATGTTGTCTGCTACATTTTGTTCGCTATCATATTTAAACATGTTTTTAAAAGCTAGCATTTAGCAACCTAATGGACTTTAACGAGTTCCGAATTCATAGAAGACCACTTGTTGTGCATGTTTCGAACTTGCTGTTACATTTTTTAATTCTTGGTGCACGTTAAATACTTACAATAGCAAGTGTTTTACAAATTTATTAATGGGCTGTTAACTGATTTTAATAAAAACGAGGATAAACGGAACTTACCTCATCACATAAACGAACCATGTTCCTTGTTGAATCAAGAGTCTATTATGTTATTGATAAGTTATGTAAAAACAATACCTCATCGGTCTTGGCATTCATCTGCATCCTCAGCAACTCCAACTCACTCATTGGTTGTCGTGTCGCAGGATTATCCTATCCATTATATTTTATTTCGTTGCATAAAGTCATTACAGCGACTCACCATTTTTACCCGGATTGAGCAAGAGAAGACACGTCTAGATGTAACGGTGGAACACAAACATTGCGCTGAACATCAATATATTCAGTATTAAATATCTAAAAAGCGAGGTAGTATAAACCAATTAATTTCTTCGCTCTCGCTTCTTGCTGTCTCAGTACAGTTTCAGGGTGGGTGTTAGTCTAGTCAGTTGACTTCACTAATCCCAGTCATCTGATCGTTATTTGTGTACATTAGAATAATACACGTAAGCGAACAATTGTATTCAATTAAATCGTCATCAGGCTTTACCCTAGTATACATATGTATTCATACGAAAATGTTAAACCAATCAAGGTAATCTAGGTCAATAATCACAATGAAACAGAATAAATCACCACGCATGACAGGTAAAAGTACAAGTTTATAATAGGAAGACAGATGTACTGATAGTAGTAAGGATAGTAAAATAAAATACGATAACAAAAGTCGTATCAATAGTTAAACATTGGAAATAGAGGGTCAAACGTGGGCAAATAGAATTAGAACGATCATCAAAAAACATTGAAACCTTTACGTAATAAAAATTGGGTAAATAATTAGATAGTGAAGAATACAAACGGAAAGAAGCGAAAAGTACGAAGGAATACTAGATGTGAAAATATGGTTATTGGTAAATTTTTTCATCGCATTACATGGCGCTGCACCACCGCAGAATGGCTGAGAATCTCTAAATAAATCGTTATTTAAAGCGAGTGAACCAGTTCCGTTGTCAAGTGACACTAAATTTTTACTTCATTTGAGTTTTCAGCTATTGTTATGTCGATCCAGATCGGCTCTCATGACATCTAATGTAGGGGGACAGGTCATCCTTGGAGCTGTACTAGACCTGAAAAGCTTCAGGTGAGAAATCAGAGTTTCTGAAGTTTGGCATCATCAGACGCGGAGACTGAGTGGCCGTGAGGTGCGGCGGACGAGTAGTGCCACCTACCGATTCAGACACTCCATGAACCAGCACACAAGTTGGTTCTTAAGTGTTTATTGCTGATCTCTTGACTGTATCTTACGGTCTATGGCATTCTGTGTCTATTTGAAATTTAAAAGGACCGTCTGACCATTGAGTTCTGAGATATTGTGGTGTTTGAATGAACTAATGTCTCCTTTGTACTTGTTGAATGTTTGATTTCGAATTCTAAATACAGTACATTCGTTCGTGCTTATTTAGTAGTTCTTGATTAACTTACGTGATTTCTGGGATTCTTAGTTCATACTATAATTCAATTACTCCTAATTATCATATTGGCGTCGCGATGGAGCCTGCGATGGAACAGTTAGATATTAATTCAACTTCTGAAGCTTGTGAGAACTATTCGGAAAGGTTTGAAATCTGGTGCATGACCAAGAAAGATGATGAGGATATTAATATTGAGGCACATTTTCTCACATTCATCGGAAAAGAAACATATGGCTTATTAAAAATTTTGGCTTCACCGGAAAAGCCCATTTCTCTTCCTTATACAACTCTCAAGGAACTACTTCTAGACTATGCTAAGTATACAAATTTCGAATGCGGTAAAGGGAGATTTCGTAAAATAATTTATGAGAATATAAAAAAGTCCATTATATTACGTCACCCCATCCCAGTGCATACTCAAGTTTGTGCAGTTCACGAAGATGGGCACAAGTTTAGTCAATGTTTTTCTTGTAGCAAGTTCCACCCTTTTAATTTATGTAAATTTCGTAATTGTAAGTGCTTTAAATATGGTGATGTTTGGCATATTCAGTCAGTTTGTAATACTAGTGTTCATCTTACTGCAACTAATATTAAGTCTTGTGATTCTGATTCTATTAATCTGAATATTTATAATGATCATTTATCTTTATCGACGATTTCAAAAGACAGTTTAGAGTCATATAGCAGTTCAGAGTTAAATGAAACTCAAGATTCTAGCGAGACAACAATTTCTAATGAATCAACCTATCAGATTTATCATGTTATTGTGCCAGATATGGTTTTTCCTAATGATTCACATATTTCTGATGAAATTTCTTACAAATCTGATGAGAATATTTCGGATGAACCTAATCGTGATCAAAAAACTGATGTAGTTTTGATAGATTCTGATTTTTCTAATGATCCTTTACTCTGCAATGACATTCTTAATAAATTTGAGGAAACTATTTCAGAAGGATCTAATCTTGATGTCATATCAAATATTATTTTTTTCCTCATGATGCATTTGTTTCTTGTGGGAAACTTGTTTAAAGCGAAACACGAGCATTAAGTGAGCTCAATTCTGATTACAATTCAGATGATTTCATATCAACTGTTGTTTGTCCCTATCATAAATTCACTTCCAATGTTTACTCTAGTCAGATTGAGAAAGATGTTTTAAATGAAGCCACATTATTCATAACTTGGGGATATGAAGATCTGACATTATTTCGTGGGGGAGGATAGTCTATGGTTCATATTCCAGGTAGTAGCTTCAGTATTCAACCGGCATGGTGATTGTTCACAATCCCAGAAATCAAGTGAGTCTGTTCCGATTTCCGTTGTTAATTCTAATAATAATGAGTGCATCCTAAATAGTACAGAGTTTTTATCCAATACACTGTCGGACAGACACAGTATGAACTTGAGAAGAAGACGTACAATTGATTACAGACACTTAGACTCCAATTTGAGCTGTGGCGGATGTGGTGTTTGAATGAACTAATGATTCCTTTGTACTTGTTGAATGTTTGATTTCGAATTCTAAATACAGTACATTCGTTAGTGCTTGTGTGGTGCTTCTTGATTCAATTGCGTTATCTCTGGGATTCTTAGTTCATACTATAATTCAGTTACTCTTAATTGTCATAGATATCGTTAAACTTTCTATATGACGTGTGCTGAACACAAATTAACTACTAGTGATCAGTAACTGATCATCGCAACTACATGGTTCTACCTTGAGTAACTCAAAACTTACGCTAAGAGATGGAAAGATAACTCCTTTCTTCTTTTTTCTAAATAATCAAAACCTTTCGGTTTTTCTTTCAGTCTTCAGACATTAACATCGTTGGATGTCGGCCAGCTCAGTGGTTTAGGGATTAAGCGTTCGCGCGCGAGACTGATGGATCCTGAGTTCGAACCTCGCGAGTTGGGATCCTGGATGTTCACTGCTGGGGAGTCCCACAACAGAACAAAACGGACGTCCAGTGCTTCCAGGTTTTTAATAGTGGTCTAACACCAATCACTTCTCAATCAATAACAGATTAAGACGTATTCGTTCCTCGTGGAGCGTTATGGAATCTAGACTTCAGAATACTACGTTACAGACGTTATGTCTTGAACAAGCGATGCAACTGCTCATTGAAGAACGATTTCGTTGCCCCAGTATAAATAAAGACATTGAGGGTTGGACATAGTCGTCGGTTAGATGCGTGAGATTCAAAAGATTTAGACAAAATATTGTATAATAATAGCGTTCAAAACAAGAATAAACAAATGATCATTAAATCATACGTCACAATACATTTAATACGAATTCCAAATATATTACATTCAGTTGTGAACACCTAGTCATAACCGATCTCCCAGCATTTCGGGAAACCTCGTCGGCTTTTAGGAAATCGTTTTGAAGTACGAAGTGAATTACTGTGAGTTGTAAATAAGGGTAGTACACAATTATTGGAATCACCCGAAATAATATGATCCGGATTGCAGTCAAACGAACATTAGTTTGACAAACCAACTGGATGTGTCCTATTTTACAACACCTAAGGCATTTAGCGTGATGAGAGACACATAAGTTACGTGAGTGAAATTTATCTCAGGATAAACACTCACGGAACTTGTGGTCACCTCTGTGACCCGCTTCGCAACACGTCAATGTTATGCATCATTATTCACCCACATATGTAGACGACACTGAGATTCTAGTTCTTCTCAAACACTGTTTAAATTATTTAATTTTCGATAACTTGGGTTTAAGCTCATTTATTTCTCCTTGTTTTATTCATGGTCTTTTAATTCCTTAGAATGAACTATTAGGTTTTTTGAGATAACCCCCTTTCTTAATTTTGAGTAGTTATTCAAGCAACCAACCGATCGCTAAGTCGAGTTTCCTGTTGCTCCTCAGTGTTCCATCCTGTGTTTTGTTCCAGTAGTTCAAATATCAAATCTCTAGCTTTCTGATCAACTTTACGCACCATTTTATTATACATCAATATCTCTCTGTATTCAAAGCCAGCACACTAAACAATGACTAAGTGGTAATTCTTTGAAAGGGTTGTACGACAATGAAATTGGTTTCTCTGGAAAAATGAGATTCTTTAGCAGATTATAAGCTTCTCTGTCAATAAACATCAGAAAATAAGCCGTGAATTTACCACCTGTAATGTCTTTTGTAGTCATGCACCAGATTTTGAACCGCCCCATGTAGTCTTCAAAGACATCCCCGCTTGAATTAATACCCTAATGTCCAAGATTTGACTCCATCACAATGCCAGTATGATAACTAGAAAACTTTGAATTGATGTGCTTACCAAGAACTCCCAAAATAGTGCGATCAAAGCAGGTAGAATTAGATGCGTTATATTCGGAATAATAAACGCTCGATCAAGTACAAAGTAATCATCAGTTAGTACAAATACTCTGATCTGAAATTATAACTATCTAGTTTCTTCATTATATTTGCTCTCTTCTTCAAATCAAACCAATTGGCAATACTATAATTTATGGACAGACTAATAAAATCAGGATAGCAGGTCTTGTATTTTGACCCGAAACTTATCCATCTATGTTGTTGAATAGCGTTTCGGTATCACAGTTGATGTCACTTCATAATGAAAACTGTAGATCTAATTTCTTATCCTGAACTCAAACTCTGAATCCCGACTCGTTTGATTCTAGTAAGTGAGTAGCCTGACGGTCACTTTTACGTCTCACAAATATCACCTATAAATCTTGTTTTCATCAACCAAGTAAACACGATTTCTGAAGCCTGTGAGCTTCATCAAAGTGTATATTATCTGAATTG